GAACACAAGACAACAAGATAGAGTAAAATTAAATCGACTAATACGGAAAGCATGTAAAATTTCAACATCTACATTCCCTTACTTGGATGAATTGGACTTTAAAAAAAAAATTCCATCTTTTTAGACAGCAACCATCCCTTGTTCCCTAAAATAAAAAACATCAGTCACAAGTAAAAGACCTAGACTTCTGATCTGTAACAAAGAAAGATATAGAAGGTCATTTTTACCATCATCTATCAAAATGCTTCCATCTTAACCATCTTGTATAAGTATACTTACGGCCTTAGAGCATGCATCAAAATGACATTGAGTGTGTATCTAGCTTACGATTATTATTGTTTATATTGCTGCTCATTTATATTATGCATGTGATTGTAAGCCTACGTGTGTGTGTATGTGTGTGTGTGTGTGTGTGTGTGTGTGTGTGTGTGTGTGTGTGTGTGTGTACACGTGGTGAAACACCTAACCAATCTGCCAGGATCTGGACAATAAAGATGTATCTTATCTTATCTTATATATATTATGCATACATAAACACACACATATGTGCGCGCACATACACGCCCACACACACATACACACACTGACATAATATATAATATAATATAATATTATATAATATACCTGTATAATATAATAATATAATAATAATAAGGGGAGGCTACCGAGTAATATTTTTAGTATTTGTTAAACTTTAAGTTCCTCCCCTTATAAAATGGTTTTGGAGAAACGGCTCCTGAAATGGTAACACTGTTGGAGTGACTCTTGCAACTGCAATAGAAAAAAACGATGGAAAGCGTCATAAACTTTGACCCGGACTATGCATTACTACACTCCATGCTGCACGCCACAACTGATTGTTTCAAACTATGATCAAGCAGAAAGAAAAAGAAAAAAAGACATATTATCTCATTGACCAAGGCCATTACTCATAACTCAAAGCGGAGGGATTTTTAAAAATAAATACCTTGTCAAACTAGAGTTTACCTTTCTCTTTGCTTTAGCACAATTAATGTTTTTTTTTAAAGGCAAAGTGGTACGACTGAGCAACTACAAGGGCTCTGTGCACTGACGTGCTACTGTTATTATTTTTTTGGGTAAGGGTTTTACGACGCTCGCTACTGCATAATGTCATATGAGCGCGCGTGACACATTAAAGTTGGTAGGAAATTTTGAATTTTGTCCGGGTGGCTCCCGAAGCCTACTCTTATCGATCTTGGAGCACCAAGGGATCTTTAACGTGCACAACTTTCACACAGAACTCCGAGATTTTTCACTTTTGTCCAATAAGTCTAGGTATAGATCTTTCCTACCAGAAGATCAGGGGTGTGGCCGAAAACAGCAGTAGGAGCCAAGGAGTAAGTAGAAAGGCTGCAGAAAGAGTCAGGAGCCCAAGGGAGGGGTCAAAGGAGGTGAGGAGGTGGAGGCAGAAAGTGGAGACGAAAGCAGACGACAGAACATTGTTTGAGAGCAGGAAAGAATGTGAAAGCAGAACGTTTTAGAGAAGAATTTTTTTTGTCGCTATCCGGATTCGAACCCGGGACCTATTGAATGAGAGGCGACACCTTAACCTCTAGGCCACAAGAGCCCCCGGTGTTAATGTTAGACAGCTAAATGTGACGTAGTGATGTAGAATAACCCGCCCTCTCACTATTGCTGATTGCGTTGTATTTCTGGGTACAGTCAACCTACTATTTTTCTATTTTTTTGTCATTTGTCATTACTTTCACTATGTACAATGTAAATTTTTAACGTACTTTTGATCACTAGAATTAATTCCCCTGAAAAGTGAACTTTCCAGTCGAAAGTCCAGGGGGATTAAAAAAAGAATTAACAGAATTCATTACTCGCTATTTTAATAAAGAAAAGCAATAAAAAAACCTCAAGGTAAGTCACACGTATTGTACTCACAATCAACTTTTATTTCCTGACTTACAAGTGTTCAATATGGACATCACCAGCAGCACGAGCAACGTCATTGCAATGAGAGAATTCCTCCCACACTCGTTTCAGCACTTCACGGTCCACTGAGTTGATCACTGCTGTTATTCAATGTTTAAAATCTTCGAGGTTAATGGGTAGCGGTAGAACATTAACGTAATCTTTTACATATTCCCACCAAAAAAAATCGCACAGGGTGAGGTCTTGGAATCTGGCTGGCCAAGCTCAGAGAGCAAGGTCTTGCGTCTCTTTTCGACTTGTCTTTTGCTACGACGCTTTTTCATAAAAAGAAAAAAAGAATTCGAACCGTTAGATGCCAATGGTGCACAAGCAGTTATGTGAAGAGCCAGTTTTGGAGCGTATCGAGATAGGTTTGTCCATTAACGGTATCTCTTTCAGCCGGAAAAACGACGCAACAACAGCACCCACGTACCAGCTATTCAAAAGTTAGATAACTCCTCTTTCAAATTGGCATCGACTCATTCCTTAATGATGCTTGAGAACTGAAGCAATGTGTTGTAAAATCGGTTCATTCTTATTTGATCACCTAGTGCGTTTT